AGGTGAAAGCAGAAGAGAAAGGAGTTAAAGGACCTCAGCCCTCCTTTGCTAATTTGTCTACCATTTCGTTGTATAAGATTCATATGAGAGAGGATCCACTGTAAATTGGTATCAGGGTGCTAGGAAAGTAGCTGTAGTTTTTGTAGGATAGAAATACTGATTTTGTTGCCTACAAGAATCCAGTTCTTTCTGTTAGTATAGCCATGAGCCCCAAATTGTTTGTCATCAGTTTGCTCCAAAAGACAGAACAGTGCTTTGGATCATGATGACAGTCATTTTCCCCGAGGGGTCTCACTGTAAATGCCACTACCTCTGTAATCAGCAGTTTTGCTGCCATGTGTGAAAATCTTAATAGCATTTGTTGGAATGGGGCTTGTTACCTCCGTAGCCAACTGTCTTAGGTATTCAATGATAAAATCCTTATTTACAGAAGTAGTAAAGTTTTAGCAGACGTGAACACTGAAAGTCCCTCAGATTGATATAAACAGCACTGTAGTGAGTTGGTCTCAACATTGTAAGAAAGGCTCTGAGACTCAACTAAGCCAAAAGTGCTGTTTTTATTTATCTGTTTGTTTTTTCACTCATTTAGATACATTGAAGTTTTGTATTGGCCATAATTAGAGAGTTTGTGAAAGTATTTAACAAGGTCAGCTAGTCTTCTAATCTGAAGAGGTTGCCAGTTGGCCTCAAAAAGGAGTATTTCAATAGGGCAGCTATGGCTTAACCTAGTAATAATACGAGCTGCACTTAATTGAACATTTTCTAATTTATTCAGTTTGGAGTCAGAGGCACAACAATAAATTAGAAACTGAAACTCAAGTATGGGTCGAATGAGTGGGAAATAAAGTACACTCATGTCCGTAAATTAAGGATAATGCAAAATCAGGCAAAAAAAAAAGAGTTAGAAGCAAAACAAATTTGACTTATTTGTAAAGCTTATTTATTTAACAAAAGGTAAACAGCAAAAAAGATGCTATATGTTTGATATTATTAAAAAATTAGCGATTTTTTTCTCCCTGGTGCAAATTACAAAAAAAAAAAAAAAACCTATTTACAAAAAAACAATATTACATGGTTGGTGTGATTGTTAATATATTGTATGTCTCCCAGACGATGCAATACAGTCCGTACAATGTCTAGGCATGTTGAGTATCAAATTATTGATCTGATCTTGGGGGATATTACACCACTCAAAAAGCAATGCTCTCCGAAGTTCCGGTAGACATGTAAGAGGAGGTGGACGGGCTGCAACTCGTCGGCCAAGCATGTCCCACACATATTCTACTGGATTCAAGTCCGGTGAGAATGCTGGCCAGTCCATACGGGTGATATCCTCCGATTGAAGGCATTCGCTTACGATGTTTACCCGGTGATGATGGAAGTTGTTATCCATAAACACAAATTGTGCGCCCATGGTGCCCCGAAACAAACGTACATGTTGTTCCAGAATGATGTCCCAATAGATTTGGCTTGTCATGGTTCCAATTTGAACATGCAGGTCAATTCTGAAACCCAGAATAATTCCTTCCCAAACGAGCACTCCTGCACCACCGTAACGGTGTCGTTCAATGATGTTTTCTTGGAAGGTGACGGGTACCTGGAGCGCTCCATATGAAAGTCCGGCGACAATCAGATAAAAGCTAAACCTGGACTCGTCGGAAAACATCACACAAGCCCACTGTTGTGGTGTCCACAATGCATGGTCTCTACTCCAGGCTAACCGCAGGTGACAGTGAGTTGCAGTAAGTGGAACGCATCTGACAGGTCTACGAGCAAATAGACCAATCTGCCCTAAGCATCTGTACACGGTCTGCCTTGAAATTGTCGTACCAGTGGCTGAAGAGAGCTGACGAGACAGGTCTGAGGCTGTGCTCCGCCTTTTTCTTTTGGCAGTAACTGCCAAATACCTGTCCTCATTCGGCGTTGTAACTCTGGGGCGACCTGTGCTGCAACGTCTACTCACATTACCATCATCTTGTAATCATTGCCAAAGCCTGGAGATGACACTCTGGGCAATTCCAAGTTCGTCTGATACTTCCAGTTGGGTACGCCTACATTCCAGACGGCCGATAATTCTACCACGTAAAAAACATCCAAATGCGTCCTTTGTGTCATAACTATTTGGTTATTGCACTGAAATGCTTATAAAGCACCTGCGAACAATTTTACTTCTTTGCCTGCATTCCTTATATATCACTCTCTTACACTCTCGTCATTGTGACGTACCATCGGTGTCATCTGGTTACTTCCTGAAATTTGCATATGATTCTTGATGTGTGTAGTGATTTTACAGGTGATATATTTATTTTAGAGTTCGATTTCTGCGTGACTCCAAATTATCCTTAATTTATGGACATGAGTGTAGTTCTGAGGGTAAGTTCCCCAGTCCCCACCCACAATGTATTTCAGAATGTTTGATCGTTTTCTACTTTTCTAACACTATATTTGATATGCGTGTAACATGAGAATTCAGTGTCAAGAATAAACCCTGAATATTTAGGGGGCTTCTTGTAGGTAAGTTCCTGATTATCAAGCCTCAACTTCAGCTGGTATCTGTATAAGTGCTTATTTGTAGCGAAAAAGTAACAATTAATTTGACTCGGTTAAAACATAATTTCAGCCCTACAGCAAAGTTGGGCAAAGCTGTTAGAGAGTTGGTAAGTTTCAATTCTGTTTCAGTTATATTGTTTTCAGAGCTCCAGAGAACAATGTTGTTTGCAAAAGTTCTAATTCTTATATCCAAAGAAAGCACTTTGCACTACTTTAATATGTTTTTGCTGCAGAAAGTCTGCTATCCATCTAAAAGTATGTCTTGAAGGTTAAAACTATCATGTAGTTTTAAAAATCCGTTTGTGTATCCATAATCTATCGAAGGCCTTTGTGAGGTCTAGTTGGGCAGCCACCATATGGTGAGTGAGTTTAAGATTCTGAGCATCTTTATGGTTTGACAGAAATACAGAACTTGATCTGTAGTACTATGGCCTCTTATAAAGCTACTGTTGTTGACAGGGCATTAATGTATCACAATCTAGGTAATATTAGACTCTTGTTAGGATCATTTTCTCCATTATTTTGATTACTGGTCAAGTCAGAGCTGCAGGTCTGAAGTCTTCTGGGGTGCCTGGTTTTTTTGATTGGAATAATCATGGCCTTCTTCCATTCAGATGGTAATGTACCTTTTCTCCAAGACGTATTAATGATGTTCATTAGTCGGTGTGTACCTCTATGACCAAAATTTTCTAGCATTTGTGCGTGAATGCTGCGAGGGCCAGGGGATTTTCTCAGAGAAAAGCTATCGCAGGGAGTAGTTCTCGCAAGGAAAATTGTTTGGCTGAAATTGGGTCTCCAAAGTCAGAGCTACGACATCCATGAATGACATTTCCTGCTTATCTCAAAATAGATCTATCATCACTCGTAAAGTTAAGCCTACTTGATTGATAATGCACAGCAAGGTCATTGCCTGCTGTTTCATCATCTGGTAAAGCCTGACCATTTTCATCTTTAACTGAGTTACATTTCTTTGAACTGATCCTGTTCCTTATTATGTTCTTGACCAATCTGCAAAGTTTTGAATTGGATGTTGTGGCATCAAGTTTATTACACATTTTCTTCTATCTTGATCTTTTCAGATGGGCATAGGCTGTCTTTATTTCTGCATTGATCTTGTTAATTTTGGATCTTAAGTTGTGCTCACTGTCGTTGAATGTCCCTACAAGACAAGTTCTTTTCTCCAAAAGGGGTTTTAGAATAGTAGCATTTTGAGTGAAGAAAGGAATGTATTGTTTCATATTGCTTTTAGTGATGTTTCTCCTGTCACTGTTAAGGACAACTCCTTTGAAATTTAAACAATTGTTATTTAAATAATTTGCAGCGGTTTCAAGGCCAAGCTGCTATCTATTGAATTTGTAAAAGAGTTCCAGTTAGCCATTTTAAAATACCAGAATTTCATTCAGGATAGGTAGACTAATTTTTTCTTAAATTCTATAGAGATTGGTAGATGATCATGAATTATAGTTAAAGAATCTAATCTCTACTATTCAGAGGTAAGATGTCCTTTCCTCTATCATTGTTACCAGAATATCCCCAACTAACATGTTTTGCATTTAGATCTCCCAGAATTATAGTATTTTTGCCCATGAAGCTAGAAAAGTTTGATAGTTTTTTTTTTTTTTTTTTTTTTTTTTTTTTTTTTTTTTTTTTTGGGAGGGTGATAAACATTTAAAATACATATTTCCCTCTCCATTGTATCCTGACGCTCTGAATTTCAAGATCGGAAGGCTGATCTACTGAAATATCAATACTTTAATATTTAACATCCTTAAAGAAAAAGTCAGCCTCCTCCACCTCCTGATATTCTGTCTACTCTAAAGATATATCCTTGAATTTTCAAAGCAATATTTTTGTTCAACTTTGTTTCTTGGACAGCAACCACTTGAACATTATTTAATTTCACAATATCTAAAAGTTCTGGTTGCTGTAGTCATTAAACCATTAATATCACATTGGAAAATTATCAAGGTTTCAGGAGACTAATATTCATTTAAGCAGTATTAGTATATACATATTTAAATTATTAATTTGGGAAAATTTTCCTTGCTTTTTACGTGTAGGTTGCAATAAAAATTTGTCACTTGTTTTTTCTTCTTATTCTTTTTTTTTTTTTTTAAATTTAAAATATTTTCTTAAAATGACTTTAAAATTTTTCCCATTTTATACCCGTATACTATCTAACATTCATGAAACATGTGAAGACAATTTGATTCTTCTAATTTTTTGATTAAAAAAATTTACATAGGTTTACCGAAACATAAGGATATTTAGATCATTTATTTTATTTTTGTTGTTTACATCCACTGTAATAAACTTATATGTGAAACTGCAAGTTCCAGACTTTATCCCTTCTTTTAAACACTTCCAGTAATGCCAAGTTGTCATATATGTGAAGCTGTGTATATACAGTTAACATTTCTGTAATATGTCTCAATTCTTTTAATTTTTAGGTCTAAAATGTCATCAGAGGAGCAGTTGCAAACATTGCATGCATTATCAGAAATAGTCACTTGTCATATGGATATTAGAGAGCAGATAGAAGTTATAAAAATTATAGATCCATCTGCAGTCATATCACCAGATGACAAGGAATTTGCACTAGGTATTATTTTTATATTGAATCAAGATTTTAATTGAAATTAAATATCCTTCCCAGTCTTTCCCTGGTATGCCGTTTTCAGGCTAAAATTATGTTGTTTAATGTAATTTCAACAGCAGTAACTTTTCTAAATTGTGCTTGAACTCTTAAATTATGGAGAAACTTCATAAAAATCAGTAATTAGATATCATTAAATGAGATATCAAAGTGAAAAGATTGATATTTTATTGCCAAGAGTTTTTAAATAAAAATTTTGTATTTTTAATTGCTAGGTGCTATGATGGTCTCTAATTTGAGACAATAGAAAGTGAGTAAAACTTTTGATAATTATAAAATTTTTAATCCGGTACTGCAGTTAAGCAAAGGTTTACCTTGTTATGCAAAGTACCACTGTGATTACATCTTGTATATTTATACTGACTGCAGATTGGATTTAGTTTACAAAATGAAGTAAATTTTTAAACCCATTTTTAGCAAATTTAGTGTCTAAAATGTATGCAGAGTGCAAAATAAAGGCTTTAAAAATATGTTCAAGTATATCAGCAGCTGCCCTTTTAACAACCTTATTTAGAGTACATTATGTAAATATGTATAATCAAAAACTAATTTTGATTGCATAAGGTATCTTAAACTGTTTTAAATCTGACATTGTGTTGTGTATTGTATGAATATCTTTGACACAATACTTTACATATTACCGTATTTGATGGCATATAAGACGCACCCTTATTTAGAAGGCTAGACACAAGGAAAAAAGTTCAATAGTCTGCACGATAGCACAATGGCTTAAAGTGTGGTTTCTTTTAGTTCTCGCGTTTCGTAAAAGCCAAATAAACAATCATTGAATGCAATTACCAAACATATTTTTATTAAGGAAAATTAACAAACGGCAAGCTATTTTTAACACAATATGTAAATTTCAATAATGAATAAATGAATGAACGGTAAACAATCAAACATAATACAAAATAAAGCAGAAACACCAAAAAACACAGATTCAAGGAAAATGTTGCCTATCATGAAATTAGACTTTAATCACTTTCAAAACCATAAAAATCCTTTTCACTATCATCATCATCGAAAACGAGAATATCGTCATCACAACTGTTTCCGTCATCACTAGTATCACCTTTTTCCTATAATGCGTTGTGTTCTGTTCCGTCAAGAGCATTACTGATTCCACACTTCTGAAAGGACTTAACAATTATTTCAGCCTTTACGTCCTCCCAAGATTACCCACTCGCACACATGTGAAATAGAGGGCCGCTTCATTCTACCTGAGGGCGTGATGTGGCTCTCCTATCCACTTGTTCCATTGTTCTCGCACTTTTTCCTTAAATGGCTTATTTACCGATACATCTAAACGCTGCAATTGGCTAGTCAGTCTATCAGGAATGACAGCTATCTGGGTTTTTAATTCTCTAGCTTTATTCTTTATGGTTTCAGTTCTATGGGCACTAAACTGATCCAAAACCAAAAGAGAGGGTTTTCTTCAGAGTCCATCAGGTCTCCTCGCCCATATGTTCTGTAACCACAATTTCATTCCAGCATCGCCCATCCAGCCTTTCGGATGAACACGAACAATTACACCCGTTGGAAGTTTTTCTTTTGAATATGAAAAACGGCGGTAGTTTTGTGCCATCAGCACAACATGTTAGAACTACCATATATCGGGTTTTTTCATGACCTGCGGTTTTTATGGTTATTGATTTAGACCCTATAATACTCAGTCTTGTTGGATGGTACATCAAATGTGAGTGGAATTTCATCTATATTTCCTTTTTCGCTCAGCTCAAAAGAAGTTTTCTGGCGTGCATTTTCTGTGCAATAGTTCTTTTTGTGTGCATTGATAAGCCTTGCCTTTTCAAGAACCTGAAGCACCAGCCCTCAAATCCTGAAAAGTTCTGATTCCCATGTTTTTCTGCAAATCCTTTGGCCTCATTGATTATTATTTTGGTTGAAACACTTATCCCAGATTTCCTCTTATTTATCAGCCACATTTTTACATCATTTTCAAGTTCAGTCCAAGATAGAGCTGAGCATCGAAGGTTTTGTTTTTGTTTTTTAGCAGTCTTCAGTTGATCTTCCTGCAGTCGCCTAGTACGTATCATTTTTTCTGTAGGTGGTGGACCGAAATGCCTTGCTGCTGCTCTGTTTCCATGTATTTTGGCTAGTTTAACACTCCTAGTTTATACTGAATTGTATAGCTTAATCTCTTGTTTCCTGTAGTCATATTTTTCTAGGTATTTTTTTAAACAAATAGTTTTAAGCACCGATACCGACACGTTTATACATAGTAGCACCGATACCGACACGTGTGTCGGCCGAGTCAAAGAAAGTCTATGTAAAGAAGGAAAGCCTCCATAGACATAATGAAACCGTCGAACCTGTTCGAACTTCGAATCAGCTTCGAGCTTTGCCGCTTTATGGCGACAGATATTTCACGCATGCGCAAAATAATTATGGCAGATGTAGAAAAGGTTATGTGTGTCTAGACCTTTATCCGGGCTAAAAATAGCATTCAGTATTGAAAGTTAACCTGTGTCCTTCACGTATAAGACGCAGGTAACTTTTTTGAGACCAAATTTAGGAAAAAAAGTGTCTTATATGCCGTCAAATACGGTAGATTTTAAAATATGGAATTTTCAGTGTTTCAATAGCGAATTTGATTTTTTAGTGTTTAAAAGATAAATTATCATCTTCATTGACTTTTATATTCATACTTAAAAATAGTTTTATGTTTGTAGATAGTTCTTTCTTAAACGATGTTAAATTAAAGAAAATAAGAGATTTCATTAAGAAGCAGAAGCGTCCATTATTAAACTCATTACAAAGCATAGAAAGTTCCTCTTCAAATCTAGGAAGTCCTAGGAAAGCATCAACTACAAAATTGTTGCCCACAAAATCAAATAGCTCAAATTTGTCTAGAACAAAGAAGAAACAAAAGGTAAATTGTATTTGTACATTCTTTTATTTTCCAATTTAGTGTTTCATTATTTTCAGGATACATCTCATTTCTATAAATTATTAGTAAATTGAAAATTTATAAAAGTAATGTAATTTTGTTAATTTTAAACGCAATCAGAAAAAACAAGAAGGCACTTCAGAACCTTTTAAAGAACAATAAAACGTAATGTATAGTAGGGTTTTTGATAACATCTGAATGCCTGTAATCTTTGCTTATTTTTTGGTTACAAGCAAACGAAATTTTAGTTTCCTGGGAATTTCAGCATGGCAGATAGCAGTATTTTCTTTACAGTAACAAGTAAAATGAATTTTATAATGTTCTTATTTATTACATTATATCTAATAGTAAATGTATGAATAGAACATTAATTATAATTTGCTGAAATATAAACTTGATCTTTCATTTCCGTGAGTGATTATATAAATTAATAGAAATTGTAATCTAAAAAATGTGCAGTATGCAGTGATTTTTCTTTAAACTAATACTACACATTACTCAGGAAAGTGTCAAATATTTGAGATGGGATAGTGCTATTCAAGAATGCTTTGCCAAAGGTTTGGGATGCCTTCTAATAAATACTTTGTGTGAAAGTGGAATGAGGAATTCAGGAATGAGACTAGAATCAAATTTTAAAGAATTAGAGAGGGGGGTGCCAAACTTGAGGGTAATAAGAGCTGCCTGTTGGGATTCAGGAAACTTTGAGAGCTGCAGTTAAGATTTTCTTCGAGTCACAGTTCCTTGCATAAAGTGTTTTAAAGGTAATGGAACAGATTTATATGAAAAGAAACTTCTCATGAAATTGAGGAAAATATCTCATTTTTGTGTAATTAATATGGTCGCATATAATATTTTCTCTCACTGTAAATTCAATGAATATTTTTCTATCTTGTACAGATTTGAAACTCATATGATGAAACTGGACAATTTCAGATACAAAAAGCAAGCATTTTCTTCTGCTTTCCCTGGTTTATAATTGTTGAATGGTCTTAACAGAAGTATAATAAAATCAAGACATTTTAACGGTCTTTGCGAGTACAATGTAAATTGCTTAACATTTTAGTGAACAATAAAGCAATATGCAGTGATTTTTCTTTAAACTAATACTACACATTACTCAGGAAAGTGTCAAATATTTGAGATGGGATAGTGCTATTCGAGAATGGTTTGCCAAAGGTTTGGGATGCCTACTAATAAATACTTTCTGTGTGAAAGTGGCTCATGTGCATGTTCTTCAAAATAGGAATATTGTTTGAAAATAAGTTGTAAAAGTTTCAGTATTCTATACAAAAATAATAATTTAGTTTTTCCATTACAATTAACATGAAAACTGATATGCTAAGATAACCTAGTCCTAACATAAAACATTCAAATTCTCAGATCTCGCGAATCTTCAAAAATATTTAAATTTGCAAAACTCAAAACTTAGTGCTTCTTTTTGTGCTAATCCTAAGAACAGAAATCACCAAACATCTTAATTGAAAATTTCAGTTTTATTAACTCGCTGAAAAATAAATGTGATTCTGGAAATGTTTAGTTGGTATCTGATTCACAAAATTTACCCTTTGATGGTCTTGCGTGACACAGTATTTCAGTGTGGCGTCCTCACTAGAGTAATTCATGCACTCCTAGTTCTCGGAACTTCTTGAAATGAACACTCGTACACTGCCCGACAGAAAATGCAACACTGAAGATTTGACAATTTAAATATACAAATTTTTGGGAATATATAACGGACCAATGATACAAGATGCAAGTTGGTTGTGTGATTATACCACAAGATAAAAGAGAACGAAGTGATGGATGAATCGGCATTTGCTTCTCTCTGATGCTTAGGGGATCCAGAATTTTGTGAAGTTCAGTGTTCTAGAAGGCGTGTGAATGAAGAGATGCCTGGAAGACAACACTGTAGGCAGTTCCAGCAAATGGACGATTTTACTAGGAATCTAATTTATAGGCTTATGTGCGGCTGGTTGGGCTTACCATCTAAATGTAAATAGTTGTGAAAAACCAGGTCTATCTAGGTGTGCTACAGAACATTCTAATCAATGCATATGAAGAGAAGATGTTGTGGTTGAACAGTCGATTAATAGCCACATTTTGTGGAATGGTAGGGAGCCTTGGATGCTCCAATATCTGGGGAAACAGTTTTGTGACATTTGCTGAAAGTGGCTAGCACATAAACCACCTTGTCTTGTTGAAAGTCTGTGATGGTGTTGTCAATGAGCCAATTGTACATCTGAATGGCACAGTATGGTATTTGTAAGGGGCAAATACCCAGCACACGTAGCCGGAATCTTCTGAGTTGACATTACCTTCTACCCAATCTTTCATGGTGTTCCATTTTCTATGTCAGGCAGTGTATCATCTCAATAATTCTGGATGTAGATAACCTATTGCAAATAGCTGCTGAATGTTTCTAGGAAGCTTATGGCTTGGTATGGCTACATGTCAATGCAAACATGACTCCTCTTGTCTACCTATTGAACTATTCAGCTATGGTTATTAATTTTATATGTTTATCAAATTACATTAACCTTTTAAAGGGCACCAGTATATAAAATATACACGTTGTTTGTCAAATATTAAACCTCCTAAGGTCCTCTTATTTTAAGACTGGTATATAGATGGTAGCACCAGGCTTCTCCTTTTCTACTCTACGAGATGACAGAATAATAGTTTATGATGTAATAATTTTTTATGATTAATATACAGGTTGTTTAGGATTCAGTATTATGTTCTTGCAGGGGAGGTTTACTGACAATGTGCTAGGGCTGAATGAAAGTATATTAGTTTCTTTTTATTCTTTGTTTACTCAAGTTTCTCATTCATCTCTGTTTCGGCACTTCATCCTTTCCCAGGAGAGACTCACCAATTTCAAAATTTCATCTGGCATCAAAACGTTACAAATGTAGGGGTTAAATGTGGCATGTTAGCCCCAAAAGACACTCATTGTTTTGTGTTTTCCAAAATCCTAGAATGCAGCGAAAACAAAAAGAAGTGATTGACAACTAATTTGTCATTCGGCGGTCATGCCATCTTCACAAAGGGGGGTGTTAACATCACACAAAGAGAAAGCTCACTTAAAAATATGGGAAATAGAAATGCATTTTAGGTCCACCGCTTAGTGGAATGGCAAAACAGCTGATTTGAATGCATGTTTTTATTCTTTAGGGTATCATCTTTGTTGATTTCAGATGAGAGAATAGGGAACGCAAGAGAAATTTTCCCCTTGGGTTTGGATAATAATAGGTGGTTTTCGAATTAAATTTTCACGGTTGGTGAAAGAAAATATTTCTATCTTTCAGAAATGCAACATACTTTTTTAGCCGAGTCGTAATGTTAAAATAAATTTCATTTTTAAAATTTTGGTGACTGCCTTTGATTCCCTTCCATCCCGCACGAGCGTCTTGAACAAAGGTGTGCCATCACAAAAGGGTTAAGAAAAAGTGCATTATGACCATCATATGCAAATCAGTATTGTAAGTTATAAACATTCATTTCTTGTGAACAGCCCAAATGGACTTAAGGGAAAACTAGACTGAAACCAAATGAATCATTTTTTTTTAAAGGAATACGAAAAAATGTATTTATGTATTAAGCTGTGTCTATTTCACAACCTAATGGCTGTTTTTGGTGATTAAATATGTTTTCAATGTTATCAGATCTATGAAAGAGTGTTTTTAATTTTAGACCATATAAATTCTGCTAAGTGAGGAGGCAAGTAACTTCTCTGGAACTAGTTCTCAGGTGTTATTCAAACATTTTATTTTCTGTTGTTGAGCCTATGTATGCATTGTGTATGTTTTCATTGTGTAAAAATTGGAACATTCATGAACTTTGCAAAATAGTACATGGCTGGAAATAAAGCATTATTTCTGTTTTCATTTCTATGCAAAACTAGTGAATGTTTGAGGTAAAATGTATTAAAAATTAGCATGAGACAAGTGTCTTCCTCGGGATTCTTAGGGGGGGTTACCAACAAAATGATACAATACATGTATGCATTTGCTGTAACTGGTGCCAATTTGGTGTTAAAAATATAAAAGGAAGCCATGTTCATCCTTGCTGAGATGACGGAGACAAAATACCACCACCAGGAAGAAAAATAAGTCTCATCTTTCTAGAAGAAACCATAACAGCTTCTATGGTTGGTTGAATGCTTCTAATAATCAGAATCAAGATGCCTATTCTACGATCACTGAGCCCATCAACTACTTGCACAAACAATATTGCCTCAAAAAAAAAAAAAAAAACAGTATTGCATTCCGCCTACAATTTAATGGAGAAAGCCATTCTGTGGTCCTCTGTTGGTGGATGTGTGGGTCCATTTGTCTTTATTGAGAGTAGACAAGGCTTCAAGGAGCTTTAGATCAATCACAGTACATACAAGTGATGAAACTTAGTGTACACTGGCTAAAGCTCTAGGAATATTCTTCAAACATTTCACTAGTTCACCGCATTTGTTATTCAAAAAAAAAAAAAAAAAAAAAAAAAAAAAAAGGCACAAAACAGCAAGTCCAAAACGCAGTTGCTGCTGTGTTGTGTGGAGGAAAATAGTTTTTTTAAAGGGGAAATTAACGTAGGAATTTATAGCTAAGAAAAAGATATGGAATACCATTGCCTACAACTTAAATGCACAAGAAGAATATACGAAAACAATAGAGAAACAGATAAGAGTTGAATTAAGCTTACTTAAAGTCTCTTTAAAAATAAACAATTTATAGGTATGATTAATTTCTGTTGCAATCTAATTGCAAACTAAGTTTTTTTCCCACGCTCAAAATAAAACTGTTTTCACACAGTTTATTTTAGTTATTAGAAAGAATATATTCCTTTCTTTCTTTTATTTTCTTTCTGTGAAAACGATATATTTAAGGAAAATAAATAGAATTCATTCGTTCAGTACAGTATGATCGATTGCTGCTGCATTCTTGTGCGATTACTATCACACAGGTATCAAAATATTTTATTTTAAATAATTTATCTTATAATTAACGTGATAGAAAATAATTTTTCAGTATAACCAAAGTTACAATCATCTAGTCTGTATTGTGTGATTAATTTGTATTGCAATTTTTGTCATACAAATTAGTAATACCTTTTTTTTAATTACTTTAGTGTTATTTTAATTTCTTATATATATATATAAGAATTGCTTGTTTTAAATATTCTTCCTTCTCAAAAGATTTAAAGTTTGCAAAGAAACAATTATTTTTTAATACTAATAGATTACAAAAGTACTATTTCATGAAGAAACCCTCAGTCCAGGGTTGCCACGCTACCGGGAAAAGTCAGGGAATTCCGAAATTGACCAAAAAAATTCAGGGAAAAGTCAGGGAATTTCATACAACGATCCCGCCAAAAAAGACAAGTTTTGCGCCGACGTCGGAAGAGATCACTTTTTTGGTGAATTGTGTATCACGTGAGTGTCATTCGGGCAGCTGGCATAGAGCCAATTTTCGCAGCTCCAATTTGATTGTCTTTTTAGAAAGGCAAGCAAGTTTTTCCCCGCAACTTTTGGTTTCCAGTAACCTCGAAATCGCATGTGCAGTGCATGAACTAAAGAAAGTACCTGTTTCTCGTATAAAACAAATGGGTTTAATCCTAGTATACGGTACCATGAAGGTTACAATTAAAAAAATGTATTGTAAAGAAGGAAAACCTCTCTGCAACAGACGTGGCTCGGTTCCATCATAGCGGGAAACAGCTGTGCATGTGTGATATATCTGTCGGCGAAGCTCGAAACCGGTGTCGAAGTTCGAAGGTCACGTTTTCAAGAGTTCATAAAATGAATATCGTTTAAAATGTCTTTAAACTCTAAAGGAAAAGAAAATATTTTTTGGCGCAACTAAATTAATTCATGGATTAGTTATTTTGACGGGAGAAAAATAAATCTACGAAAATCCGTTTTTAAAATTATTGCGAAAAATCCAAGAAAAAAACGTTCTTTGATAAAACGTTTCTTCTTGGATTTTTCGCAATAATTTAAAAACGGATTTTCGTAGTTTGTTTTTTTTTTGTCAAAGAACGTTTCTTCTTAACACGTGTTTCTCAATTTCCTGTACAGATCGCGGAGAGGGAAATTCTGGCCGTTCCGTCGTCAAACCCCTTGGCAAATTTTCCCTCCGCTTTTTACATAGACGTTCTTTGGTCAGAATAATCTCCATGTATGGTACAGCGGGATTTGGCGACATGATGATGAGCAGTAAACGGGTCGTTTTGTTCTTTGCGACAATTTTCAAAATCATGCGAAGGCCGTATCGTATACTAGGATTTTACTGCAAAATCTTTTTTCTTTTCTTCTTTTTAATAAATACCTTGTCATTTTGCAGTAAAATAAAAAAATAGTAATCAATCATCTAAGATAACCATATATATATTTATATTCGCTAAAATATCGTTGATTATTCTAATTGAATTTTTAAGTAATTATCTTTATTTTTATGTTATTCATATCATTTAATGTTGCTTCTTCCCTCTAAATTTATTTATCATTAGTAAATAATATCTCCAAATTTCAGGAAATTTTCTCTGGCATAATCCTGAAATTAATTCTAGCAGTATGATGACATCACGAAATTTAACGCACATGTTTTTTCCTTATTCATGCTGCGAAATAAATATAAAATACCTCAATTTAGTAAAAAAATATTGTTAAATAGATTTCTTTCTTTCGTTTAGCTGCAGAATGTCTGCAAAAAAAAAGCCTTTTTTTTCCAGATTGGGCAGATTCTAATCTCAATCAATCTTCAGTGGAAAACAAACCTATTATAATAATATTTGTGTTTTCAAGTGTTAAGGTGCCTTTTAAGAAGACACCTCACACAAATTAAATTTACCTAAAATCTAACCTAACTTTTAGCATTGCGTTGTGATTTATAAGAACCGGATTAGCCTCGTGTTGAACTGGGGATGATCATGAGTAATAATAAAACGTACAGTTGTTATCCAATGTATATATCTTAAATTTTATTAAGTTTTTTAAGCGGAAAAGTAAACAAAATTATCAAGCAAAGTGTACGAAGAATAATTAAGAATAAATGTCCTCTTGGATTTATTGAATAATTAAGTGAATTTGCTACACAGTACAAGTAATACCATAATTAATTTACCTCTTAGCACAGCCAATGTACATTACGCGGATAGACTGGAAATTTCTCGAAACATACCTGGAAAACCTGGAAAAGTCAGGGAATTTCATTCTCCTCTTTGAGTAGCAACCCTGTCAGTCTTATAGAATTGTTACTTTATAACACAATACAATAATAATGTATCATTCTGCTAATAAATTTTAGTACCTAACAATACGTTACACAGTTATAAAATATGTATAAAACATTTAGTAGCCAGATCTGATTTAAGAATAATGCAAGTAAAGTTCAAAATTAGATTATTATATGTCAAATAATCACAATGGATTTTTAAAAATCATGCCTCTTTAAGTGTTAAAATTTTTAATAATTTCATTTTTTTCCTTTGTAAAAATAAGGAATTTAATTCAAAAACAGTGTGACCATTTATTTTCATATGGTAATTCAATCTCTTTAAGTGTTAAAATTTTTAATAATTTCATTTATTTCCCTTGTAAAAATAAGGAATTTAATTCAAAAACAGTGTGACCATTTATTTTCATATGGTAATTCAATATGCACCTTTGCTCAAAGCAATTATGAAGGGTTTTAATTAAAATTTGTGACCAGTATGTCATTTTAAATATAATATATTTGTTATTAACAACTAGTTTTAAATCATAATAGAATTATGCACACACACACACACACACGCACATGCCAAAAAAAATTGAGGGCCTTCAGATTTTATATTACAACCAAAGGGGCGTTTTGCCTGCGACGGTCGAGTGGTAAAAGCCATCGAACACTGGTAGTTTGGTCTAGGGTTTGAGTCCCAGCAAACGGGTTGGCTGCATGGGCATTTTTGTGTTTTTCTTCACGTTTAACATGGATACGAGCCAGTTTCCCTTAAAAAAAACCTCCTCAGGACATCCCTCCCTTTCCACGTAGTGCCTAATGGTAGAGCACCTAATAGTAAAATATAGTTTATAATTTTAATATTGTAATAATAGTTTATAATTTTTTTCATTTTTATTTTACAGTCGTATGAATTTCGAGTAATAATGAACAACATTCCTTATTGTGTTCACAGTATTATTCGTAAGGCATTCCACTGTTAAATTTCAAGATGAATTTAATTTTTGCTGTACATAGATAGAGTACACTCTTCTCAGAAGTCTATATCAATATTAGCTGAAGATTATGTGCTAGATAAATACTTATTATCATCAACATTTTAAAACAATATAGTTATATAAATATATAATTTCAGGAAAAGTATAAATAACCATTCTATCAGTAGGAATTGCATTCTAGTTTTCTGAATGTGGCTTCAAATACTCTCTCAGTCCGTCACACATTAAAACTATAAATTATGGCAGTCTAATTGTGTGTAATAATAATTCCTTATTGTGTTCACAGTATTGTTCATAAGGTATTCCACTGTTATATTTCAAAATAATTTTAATTCTTGCTGTACATAAATTGAGTACACTCTTCTATATTAACTGAAGATTATGTGCTACTTATTATCTGCATTTTTAAACTGTATAGATACAATATATATATGTCATAATAAAAGCACAGGAAAAAGTCGAAACACTGTTGATGCGTAGTTATCCTAAATTGAAGAGGAAGTAATCTGATTGCGTCGTAAGCTAATGAATGTGTTGACTTCGTAAATAAAACTTGGCAGTAGAAGCGATTTTAATTCCATTTTTATTTCCAAATGACATATGTGGCCACAGATCACTTGGCACTCTAGTTGTGCCTTTCCACTCAAGATTTACATTTTTATATATTGTTAAGATAGAAAGCAAGCCAGCGAAATTACATCTTAGCAGAGTAAAGAGCAAAGCTGAAGTGCGTAGTTATGAAAGATGGAAGCACGCGAAGAGAAAAGTTTTGGTTTACAATTCGGTGATTGGTCGTCAAGAGGCATCTGGTATTAACGGTTACGTAAGATCGCATGATTAATTTGAATGACGCAATGCAGAGAAGTTATTACGATTTTAGAATAAAGAGGAAGAATTAATGTTTTATAGTTTAATCTATAATTTTGATTCATATATATTTATCTTACATATATATATATATAATTTCAGGAAAAGTATAAATAACCTTTCTTTCAGTAGGAATTGCATTCTTGTTTTCTGAATGTGGCTTCAAATACTCTCTCAGTTCATCGCAAATTAAAATAACTATAAATTTTGGCAAATAGGCTATGAAAACATCTGGAAGAGCAAAAGCATTGTCATGTTTTCTATCAATTCGCCGCTGATGAACGACCATGTTCTTTTAAATACAAAAAAATTAGCGGCGAAAACACACACGTCATCATCTAGTTGGAACGCCAACTGCACAAGCCTGATTGACAATGTGGCAACATTTTTTCCCGCGCTTTCCACAAAATCCGTACTCACAGAAAATGGGATGTTGGGCTGACCTGTTTTGTGTGCCAGATGTAACTGGGCACACGAGCTGCAGCCGACTCTCGGAACATACAATAAGCGTCCAGGGTTGGTAATTTTGGCTGTTTATTGGGAGTAATAGTTTAATAATAGTTTTTTTTAACTCTGCAGAAAAATGTTTTGAAAACTATTTTTCTGCGGAGTTAAAAAAAAAAAAAAACTATTATTGCTGGATTAGTGTTACAGTAGTTTTTTTTTAAACTGTTCAAATAGTTTTATAATTTTAATGAGAAATGTTTATTAAGGGAGGAAAATCTTTTTTTTTTTTTTTTTACAGAAACAGAAAATCACGTTTTCAGATGAAGATAAGCGGTTACAACGCAAGCGTAGAAGACAGGGTAAGAAAGAGGAACAGAGTGGACTTTTTGTTTATGAAAAGATGATTAAGAAACTTAACAACCCATCGGAAGAAGATGAAGATGTAAATATATTAGAATAAAAAAAGTGAAGGTGCTAGATTTTCTTTAAATTTGTTTCTCATGATTTCAGATAATAGCCGAAAAAAGTTTATATAAATTTTTTGTTAATTATATTTATTATTATAAAAACTTATTGGGGTTTTAATAATAAATATTCCAATTTCTTTCTGAATTTTTACGATAGGAAAAAAGGGTAAGATACAGAATTCCCTTACTATGCTTTTATATACAAGAACTCTTATGGTAAATAAGGGTACTAATTTATAAAATTAAAGTATCTCAGTTGTATGCAGATAGCTTTTTGAGTTATAAAGTTGATACTATCATAATGAAATAGCTTCCCCACCCCAGTAGCAAAACACTTGTATCATTACGGAAGCTTACATAACTGTTCTCTTTTTAGCAAAACTAGTTTTGCCAAATTTTAGCATTTCATACATATGAAAATGCTTTAAGCCTTTCTTTGTAGTTAGATAGTAATCTTTGAAGCTTATTTTTAATGATATTTTATTAGAGCACACTTTCAAAAGTTGCTTATATAATAATTACAGGAATACTACTGTTTTAATATCAATGAATTCTATTATGTGATGTTGATGTGAGAAAAATATTTACTGATCAATTTGAAAGCCGATGGCCCAGAAGGTCCTGTATTATCAAGAGATGGGCTTAAGCACTATTTCAATTGAGGACATGAGAATTGCCACAGAAAAAGATAAGTTAATTTTGTGCAAAAGATGGTAATATTTCTTGTGTATCAAGTTTCATCACAATGATTAGAATTTCCCTAATAGTTAAAAATAGTAATAATAGTTGTGTATATAGAATATTGGATTTAATGAGATTAAATGAGAATCACATGTATTTCTTTGGACAGTGTCAGTATAAGATTTTGTGTAAGTTCTTGACAAAATTCTGTTTAAAACAACATGCCAAACAAATAATTATTTAGAAGTCAAACAACAAAAATCAGCATTATATTTGCAAATTTTCCCAGGACTAGTTTCGATGGTTTTTACTGAACCATGAACCTGAGCTGCCAAAGCGTAAATGAACGAGATTAGATATAGTGATAAATATAATGCTGATTTTTGTTGTTTGACATCTAAATTAGAATTCTGGTGTTCAAGATTTTTATATGAAAATATTTAAATAAAAAAAAAAGTAAATCTCTAATAAAAATGGTTTGTTAAAAAAATTTCACTTTTTTTTTTTTTTTTTTTTTTTTATGTGCAAGTCTTGTGTATTTGAAAGTGTTTGGGGGAGACAGACAGCTAAATTAATGATAAGACATACTGAAAAATTTTGTTTCTTTTGAGTGCAGTAGTGGAGCTGTACTGTTCTCATTACTTGTTGGCATTTCCTGGCATATAAATATCTTTTATATGGGGTTTGAAATAATATGGTTGCCTTTGCCATCTAACATTTTCACATACAAGTAATGTGCCTTCTATCTTTGCAAAGTCATTGTATAAGTCTGTTGTTTGTGTAGCAGTATTTTGTAGTATGTGGCTGTTAAACAAATATGCACTCAACCAAAGAACTACTGAAAGTAATTGATCTTTTATAGTTGTATTTCGATGTATTTGTTTGGCAAAGGTCTAAAAATTATCTGTCATTACATTCTGCATGTGTTATGTCATACTTAGCTGCTAACTCTATTGGTTGTACTGTGGGACTTGCAGGTTTTCATCGCATTTCCCAATAGAATGTGGAATCTCCAATTTTTTTTATTTTTAGGTTTTACTAAGGAAAATGTTTTCCAGCAAGAAATAAAATTTATTGAAAGAATGATACTTAAATTGTGTAAATTCTATTCTCCTGTGATTTTCAAAATAATTTTTGTGATTTAAATTTTATTTTATCTGAACTATATTTTAAATTACATTTTACTGACCTTATTAAATTTCATTTTATCTGAGTTGTCTTAATCTAATGTGACCATTTGTAGATTTTTAGGTGAAGATTCAACGAATGTTTAACCACTTTGTGTTTATTTTACTTCATAATATGGTACATTACGAAGTTTTTTCTGATAAATATGATGTACTTTAATTATTGATTTAATTTTCATGTTTAAAAGTGCTTCAGTAAATAAAATCTTTTCTTTCCATATTTTGGATTTCTCAGTATAAAAGTGTAAGAAAATTACAGAATAAAATCTGGTTTTTCATGTATCAAGGTTAGCAGCTATGACAGTATTTCCTTGTATATGTTTTTGCTAAATGAAAGTTGGGGTTCTAACAATATGCAGATTTTAAGATAGGTTGTGCCTAAAGGATATACTACAAGTTACTTTAATTAGCAGAAGCATTTAATGCTTTAAAATTCCATCAAATTTTTCTGAGCTAGTAGCATGCAAGTAGTCCTTTGAAGTAAAGACTATATAATCCATTCCTTTGTATATACTGTATTTTTGCTAGGTATAATTGCTCTAATGATTTTCCATTGTTAACTATAAATAATCAAAGAATGTCTAGGAATTGATCAAAAACCATTAAATGGCATAAATAACTTTCCTGTTACCTCTGTTTAAGTATTAATTTACTTATTATAACAGTGGTTTGCTGCATTTGCAGCATCTTACATTAAATCATAATTGAAACCCTCCATAGCACTCTTTTGGAACCAAAATGTAACCATCCGTGGCATTGTAAATAATGGTTTTTATAAAGCTAGTTGTTTATTGCTGGTAAAATTAATTTCTGTGCCTTTATACAGTTTAATATTGTTGTACATCCAGGTTGTTTGCAGTTACCATCAATTGTGTATTCTTTGAAAGATTTACTTGAGATGTCCAGCGGAAGTTAAGCCTCCGAGATTTGCATGGGTATAACCATTTATCATTCTTGGACAGCCATGATTTCTGTGCTTTAGTAAATAAAGTCTAATAACATTAGTCTAGTATATGCCTTGTCTAATGCATTTTCCATGCAAAAAATATTTGGATATTATTTTTTCTCAAAAATTTGTAATAGAAATGAAGTTTAGGAAATATGTTCGAAAATACAGTATTTTAGAAATTGTATAAAAACCAAAGAAGAGCATTAAAAATGTGAGTGAATGATGTCCATTGTTTGTAATTATTGGTAATCCAGAAGTAGTGACTGCAACGAACAGTCTTTTCTCTTTGTAGTTTTGTATGGCTGATCAAGGTGGATATTTTTGTGCAATTCCTAACCACAAAGTGTCTTCCATTATTTCAAAGCTTGCTGAAGTTTAGAGATCATAAATAATTGAAGTTTGCTGAACTTTAGAGATCTAATCTATATGTCAGTGAATGAATGTCAGCTACTGCATATTTTTTATAAGATTAAAAGTATAAATGTGCGAGAGGTGTGAGTAATGTATGTTAATTGGTATTTAATTTTACAGTGTGAAGTATATTATATATGTGTATCAATTTCATTTGTAAGGAGCACACTAAAAGAAGCAATTGAAGAAAAGTAGCAGCTGAAAGTTACTTGATTTGTATATTCTGTTTATTATATATTGCTCTGATATTTTTGCTAAGTGTAATTAATGTTAGTTACGAAGGGTGGGAACCTATAAAGTATTTTTAATTTCTGGAAAGTAAGCCTGAAAAAGTAACCACCTTTTTGTGGATTTTAAAACATGCATGTTGCTAATAGTATATTACGGTGGTTGTGAAATTTAGTCTGATGATTCATCAAACAGACTGAGAATTCAGCAGCAGGGGACATAAAGATATTGATTTATTTCAAATATTGGAAACTTACATGTTTGAAATGTGTTCGCTTTTCCTCTAAAAATCGGTAATAATTATGAAATTGTATTTTAAGCAAGTTTTATTGTAAACTTTCTAATGTATTTATTTTTAGTAATCTTTGGCAGAATTTCAATTTGATTGTACTTATTAAAACTGTTGGCTCAAGTTCCACTTCTGTGTCAAATTTGGATAATTCAGCATTATTACTTTATGAGATACTTTCAAATCCAAGATTTCTTACCTCGTGTAACACCTCCCCCCCCCTGTTCAACGCAGAGCACTCTGTGTTGTACTGGCTAGAATCTCTACCTAGGCAGTCTTGGTGACGGGGGTATATAATTTACGAACTTGGTGGTTCCCATGGTCCGTGGGGTGGATCCTATATTAACTCGTCATCGGCCGGGAAGTGTAAGTTCTCATCCACCAGGGTATTGGTAGCCAAATAGCATCTGAGCCTCTGAGTGTCCAGTCACTGCTGTCCTTGGTATTTCATGTAAAGCCTAAGGAGAGGAGCATCCCATATAGTGCTGGCAGGTAGCCAAATAATGGGCAGTCATCGATCCTCATTCACAATGCCCACCCCACCGTGGTCTCTGACCTCTGGGACAGTGGTTCTGGCAGGTTTAGTTTAGTGGTGGGTTTGTTAAAGTGAGCCTAAAATAGTTGCTGTCCCGCAGATGTGGGACTCTGGGTCCAGCTGGAATGTCATACCATCTTCGGTGGCTATTGCTGGTTCGCCAGTTCCTGTAATGTCATTCAGTTGACGAGGCAGGTATGTGTTCTGTTGCCTGTTACCTCATGTAAAAAGAACATACGTAATATCCCATCGATCACTAAGTAGCATGATTTAGCACCAATTGGATGACAGTGTCCTTTAGAATTTCCCAGTAACAACTGGTGATTGTTATCGAAATTTCCGTGTGCATTCGATGCGATAATATGTAAGTACCAAGAGGATAATTTATTTTTGAAATCTAGCGGTTTTATTTTGCCCAACTATGTATTACAGGAATGAAATGTGCCTTTGTCATTTATATATATATATATATATAAAGCTATGTATGGATTCTGTTAAAATGCATTCATTAAAATATCTGAAACTAAAATGAAGTAAATAAATTATGCTTTTCAAGTTTGATTTGGTGTAGAATCATTATTCGAAATGTCATTTTTTTTAAAGTTCAAACTGTAACCAACAAATTACCTTCACTTATATTTGTATTTCATTAAAAAAAAACATTATAGAATTTTATGTGATATTAAAATGCATGGCATAAAAGATGAAGTGTGAATATAGTAAATTATCTGCTTATGGTCAAACAGATAGTAGATTATGAAGGGAGTTTTATGAATTCTTTCTGTAAAACATTTTATAAGCTATGTTGAATTTATGCAAGTGGAGTAAAATTTGAATTAATGGAAAGAAGCATGAATGTATCCTCTAGAGTGTAACTGTATTTTCTATTTTTCATAAATGTTATTTAAAAAGAACTTTATTCATTGAATGCATTTTTCAAAGTATTTTTGTCAACTGTAGAGAAAGTTATTTTCTGTAACATTTAGAATGTGATTAGCTGATTTTTTTTATGGAGGTCATTAATTATGTTCAAGTGTAGTACATTAAATAAATGTTTAAGTATGATGAGGAAGAGGCATATAACTTTCTTGTTCTTAAGAAAATCTAAAAATTCATGCATTAATATCCAAGAAAGACTGATGTTTAGGCAACTGGAAACGAGAATTCTTATTTTTAGTTTATAGGATTAGCAGTCAGGAATGTATTAAAATTCCATAGGTACTTTGTAACTTTGAGAAGAGTTAAATTTACAATTAGCAATATAAGTTTGCATTATAAGTTTTAACTATGATTAAATAACTATGATTCTAACTTATGTATGAATTCAGGTTCATGGAGTTTGTATTAAGGCTCTTGGTACTAAAATTTCCTAACACATCTTGTCTTAATTTTTTAAACATCTACATATATTTATCATTTTGTTACTGATTTTCTAATTAATAAGCTGTTGATAATCATATATTTGCTCATCAAAGTAATATGTAGTATTATAATCCATCTTTAGTGAAAAGTTATTAGGTGTTTTGAGGCAGATGTGTTTTAACTACTGAATTTTTTAAATTGTGTGGTCCACACAAATGTCAGGTAGCCCTGGAATGCTTTACCAGTAACAAATGAAGTTACCAAAACTAAATACTTAATATTCTTGTGAGAGAAAAATGAGATTTGGGTTAGAAATACAAGCTTTTGGATCTAATTTTGCTTTAATTTTTTTTTTTTTAGCATTCTTTTTATCATTTCATGGATTGCTTACTTCATTAGAACTTATCTTCTGTGGCAGATATTCAGGTCAACAGTAACTAGGATTGCTCTAAAATACATGCTATATAAAAGTGTATCTTAATTTGTGGGGTAGGTCAGGGATCATTGGAATAAAAATAAAAATATTAGTTGAAGACCTCAAAACCTGCATTAGATTACTGTTTTAACAGTGGAAAATTATTCTGTATAGCTATTTTTATGTTCAAGAGAGTCTCTTATATTTAGTGTGTGAATTAAAAATCACATATTTAATATTACATCTGCATATCAAATTGTTAAGTTTCATTATTGACTAGTTCAGTGAATGATTTTTATTTAAAGTAATGGTATGTGTAGATAGATGTTGTAAATTTGATTTTTTATTTTTGTGTAAATTTGATAAATAAAAGCTTTTTGACTTTTGTATTATGTTTTCGGCTTTTCTTTCAGTTCATATATAGTTTTGTGCATACTCTTCCAAGAATGGTTCTTAAAATTTGTAACAGTTTGATTTTATGTAAATTCTAAAGACTGTGTTAAATCAGTGGGCTATTAAATTTGTTAGAAATATATTGATTAATTTCTTAAATCTTTTTGGTATTAGATATCCAGTATTTCATAATACTAATGATCATGAAACCTCATGATAATAGAGAAAATTAATTCTTTGTTTTTGTTTAATACCATAATTGTTCAGACTGTCCTTTGACTTACAGAAGCTCCTCACATCACTAAGTATATGCACTCAGTAATAAAGATCTTTTTTAATATAGTACGGAACGGTCATATTTGAACTAAATTTATTCACTTTTACATGCATTAAAAAATTATTTTTAAACTATATCCAATACAGATTGTAATGATAACAGAAATGTCAAATATCTTATTTTCTGTGACTGCTTTAATTTTAACCTACTATAAGTACAATATAAAATAAGACTAATAATAATGAATAAAGGTTTTAAAAAATAATTTATTAGATTTATGTTGAAACTGGAGTCAAGGTTTTCCAAAATAAAAAGGGAAGAGCATAAAATGTATCCAAAAGCAATATTTATAGTATTCAGTAACAAAAATGTTTCGATTAATACGTGCTTTAAAGATACAGATTTTAAAAGTCTGATGATATAGTGAGCATTTGGTAGATAAATTACATACAAAAATTCGGGGTAACAATTCATAAAAATATAAACTTTTCGCAAATACATAAATTTTTCTCAAAGTAGTTCGTTTCTTCTGCTTCTCTTTTGGTATAAAAGTGTATCTGGATATCTGATTGTTTGAATTATCTTGGGTTCAAATCAAGTTGCAGTCACCAGCGTTCAACATTTTAACATTCAAAGGCATAGGTTCTTTCTCAAACATGTTTTCTTAAGAGTAAAGACACACTGCAAGCTCAGAATAGCATTTTTTTTTTTTTTTAATTTTTTTTTTTTAATATTAACTGTCTAAAAAACAGTATTTTTCCAAAAAGTTATTTACATTTTGAGCATTATTGTTTCATTCCTGTACTGTATTCATGTTCAAAGCAGTGAAGAATTGGAGTACAATTGTAATGAAAAAATTAACAATTATATTCACTTGTCCAACCAAAAACAAAGTGGGCACACTGAGGACGAAAGCAAGGAAAGAAGTGCTGAACATTTCTCAGTATAGCCCTACATCAGGTAGGAAATCTTTATTTCATTTGAATGGTGACCGACTAAGAGGTGTTAAGAACACTGAGTATGAAAGCAAGGAAAGAAATGCTGAACATTTCTCAGTATAGCCCTACATCATGTAGGCAAATCTTTATTTCATTTGAATGGTGACCGACTAAGAGGTTTTGAGATCAATTTTTAGAGAATCTAATTTGTCCACAGAAATGCATTCGTCCACCTCAGCGAAGGCACATAAACGTGATAATGCAGATGCCATTTTGTAAAGTAACATGGCCACACAGTTTAGGGAGGATGTCATCCTCCGATTTTGCAAAAAAAATATGCCCAATTAAGAAACTGATGATGTCATCTTAAACATGTGGTTCAAGAAGTTGCTAGTTGAAATAAAAAAATATTGTCATTGCCACAAAAATAAAACTATTATGAATAAGGTCATGCCCATGCTTCTTTTCTGTTACGTCACTTCCTTTTCCCTGTTACGTTTGCTTCATACTACCATCCCATCAGTTTATCAAGTGTTTTCCGCAATAAGTGACATTCTAGTATGTCATTTTGAAATAAGTCATAACCTTTCAGCTTCACCTATTTATCTTTTGAGTGCCGAATGAGGATATATCGTCGTTTTCATAGGAATCTATCTCAAAATAAGTTTATAAAACATTATAAATGGTTTAACTTCATTGAAAAAGAATTGAAAAAAATGCTTTTGAATTTCTATGATGTTTTATGTTGATGTTATTCGTATGATGTTAAAAAATATTGAAATACAACTGGCATTGCTTTATTCATTTCGTATTATACTGCTTTTTTAATTTTCATAGATACCGTTCGTAGTTTCGTTTTTACGAGCTCTTTCCGAAACCTTAGAAAACTCATCAAATTGAATCGATATTCTTGGCATAGGTACGATAATTTCGCTCGACACTGAAGTGATAAATATGTTTTTAAGTATTTCAAAATTTCTCGATATCGTTTAGATCGTTACCTTGAATAGTAGTTTTAAGTTGGGCCAAGAAATTTAGTCATTTCTGTATTTGATTTTCACTCGTCTTTCGGAGATATCTGCTTTGCAAATTAGTATCTCTTTATAAATTTCAGTAAATACACTGCTCGACATTGAAAATGCAACACCAAGATGGAGTGGTCAGAAAGTGATGAAATTTGCGATGCACGAAGAAACACGTCTAGGCATAGACTGAATAAGAGTGCAGATGGTGTCCTGAGGGATGGCTCTCCATTCCCTTTCAACATTTGCCACAGTTCGTCTTTTGAACGAGGCAGGGGCAGAGTCTGCAAATCGCGTCCAATCACATCCCACACAGGTTAGACACATGTTCGATTGGTGACAGGTCAGGAGAGTACGGTTGCCAGGGAAGCATCTGTATACCTTGCAGAGCATGTTGGCAGATGGGAGCACTGTGTGGTCGGGCGTTATCTCGCTGAAAATTTCATTTAGGCAGCCCCTGAAGCTAGGGGATTGCCACTGGCCGCAGTACGTTATCCAAGTGTCCTGAATACGAACTAGAGGTGACCTGGAATCGTAGGGAATAGCGCCCCAAACCATTATGCCACGTTGTCGCGCTGTGGGGCGTTCCACAGTTCTGTCGGATTAGATCTGTCTCCACGTCGAAGCCATACACATATGCGGCGACTGTCACTGGATAAACAGAAGCGTGACTCATCTGTGAACACGTTTTGCCATTCTGTCATCCACATCGTTCCTGTCCAGCACCATTCTAAACGTTGGCATCTATGCTGTGGGGTCAGTGGTAGTCTTCTTAACGGATGCCGTGAGTGCAGGCCACGTTCAACCAATCGACGGGAAATGGTTCTGGTCGACACGGGAACATCCAGGGTATCTTGCACATGCTGCAGAATCGCGATACAAGTGACCACACTTGCACGGAACCACCACAACTTGTCGGCGGATGCGTCGATCCACGCATGCTGACGTCACTAGCTGCACCTGCACTCCATCTTCCCACATTTCCTTGTTCCAACCATGTTCGCTGTAGCAGATGCACCGTGCTCGCATTCATGTGGGTATCAGCTGCGATTTGACGTAAGGACCAACCCGCCCTTCTCAGTCTGATCACCATACCCCGCTGGAAGTGCCTTCGTTGACGGCGGCCTGGCTATTCTCTCCTATTGTACGTATCCTCCGGGACAAAAACCAACTTTGATAATTTGTCTGGCAGAAATAACGACAGGAATATTGGCCATTCTGCACGTTCCTTCCATTATATCTTACTTCACGTGCGTCGTAGAGCTGCGCATTTCACATCATTCGCATAGCTCAGTGACGTGCGTCTACTCTAAAATTTGCATAAATTTCTGACCACTCCTTGGTGTTGCATTTTCGATGTCGAGCAGTGTATTACGATCTTTTCTAATTGATTCTCATATGAAATTTACTCTTATGTTTCCTTATTTAATAATTTTGAAAAATGTTGCTCTTTCTGTATTCAAAACTCAGAGCGGTAACATTTAGTTCTCTTCCTAAGTTTTTAGTACTTTTCATTGTAGCGGTTCTAATTTCTGTACGCTTCTTAGTTTTCTCAAGTGTATTCATTATCAAATGACATATTTCGTTTTGACAAAAAGTATTAATTCCAGAGATAAGTGACATTCTATAAATGATGAGTCTGGTCTTAATGCATGCCTATAAATTCGAAGCAGCAAAAAAGGAATTATTATTTTTTAACTCAATCGAATAATAAAATCCTTATTAATTATTTTAAATACACTATTTGTATTGGATCATCGTTTTTATTTAGAATCAGAAATGTAAAAATAAATTAACTCCGCGCTGTCGCATCTTTAATTTTGCATTCTGTGTAAATACCACCATCATTAACAAAACAGTGCATTTTACTAGGACTAAGGGAAAAATTTTTTCCCGTTCTTTTCTTCCCGCAAGATGAAAGCGTCCCCCCTCCGTACTCGGTAGGCGGAAGTCACGTCACAGAAAAGGGGCGTGGTATAAACGTGCACGGTCTTGATGACTTCCGTAGCAGCTCATATGTACTTGAGGGTGACCAGACAAAAGCGCCACTGGGATAATTGCCCACGCGACTAATAATCACACCGATGAAAGCGTACATTGATAAAAGCCCACATAGATGTAAGCGCACGCTGATAAAGCCCACACTGACATACATGCTACGTTCAAATTAATATTATTCCCTTTTTTCTTCAGCTTCACAAACCAGATTCATGAATAAAGATAAAATAAAAAAATAAATTAATAACAAATAATCGAACAATAAATTTAAGTAGCGGAACACATTTCATTTTGGGCTCCGGCTGAATTAAAATCCTATATGTATATGGAACAGAAAATCAATCAAAATAATATCATTAAAAACATATGCGTATATGTGTAACTTTGTTTTTATATTTACGCGACAAATGGAAGTGTCCTCGTATAAGTCCGACAAAGGGAGGTTGAAAGGTAATACTGGCCACAATACTTCTTTTAATTCTACAAAATTATAAGAAGTATAAAATGTATGTAAATTTTCATCATATACAGAGAATAATTTAACACTGCAGAAAATTTTGCATATAATTAATTTAATGTGGAGAATTAAAGTAAAATTAAACTTTCATTTCAGCGAAAAATATAAAAGTACCGTATTCTATTATGATTAAGAAAACATTTGTGTGCGCTATCACAAACACTGTTTTAACCCGGCGTTACTCGCGCTAATCGTACATGCGCAAGTGCTCGCGCGTTCATGGATTTGTATTTTATGCAGGTCA